AAATCAATTTTATTTGATTTAAATTTCACATTTGAAAATATTTATTTATTTTGTTGTTAGGTGGATGATCCAATTATGAAAGGCTAAGCAACAAGCAATTGCTACACGAGAATATTGATTATGCGTTAGACTTGTGGCTGATATATGCAGTCACATTGTCTATTTTTCCTGGGTTTTTGTATGAGAACACTGGTGTGCACCAATTGAGGTCATGGTAAGTTGGCCTAAATGTAGCTATAACTGTAGCTCTAGACGAGTCGAGTCGAACCGAGCCCTAATATTCTCGATCGAGTTCCGATTCAAGCCTTTATTGAGTCAAATTAAGTTGAGTTGGCTCGTTAAGTTAACCAACCAATAAACGAGCTCAAGCTTGAATCATTAAATGAGCCGAGACGGAGTTTTAACGAGCTAAATTATACTAAAAGGAAAAAAAATTAAGTAAATATCCATATTTCTTAAAGCTATTAACTAAACAAACTTTGATCGAGCTCAAACGGGTTGAACCGAGGCGAACCAACCGACTGAGTTATAACACTTTTAGTTAGGGATCTTTCTCTCCAAGAATTGAATTCTTTATTTGAAAAAATCAATAGGTTACTATCCATCAACATTTTCTTTTGTTTCTCCTATCTATCAATCAACAGTTTTATTAATAATCACAATTTATTATTTAACTAATGGCTCTCTATCAACATTCAACTCAATTTTTTTTTTCACATAATTAATAATCACAATTTATTATTTACACAGTTTTCATAGCCATATAATTTTAACATCCCAACAAAAGTGAATCAAATTAATTTTCTCCATAAATTAATCCATATGTGTACTTACATTTAACCACTTTATTTAATTAAATTAAATTATTATACATTTTATTTNTCCTAGTAGCCATGTTCAACATATGGGATCTCATATCAAGATACATCCCTCTTGCAGACTTCATCAAATTAGAATCTCGAAAAGCCCTATTTACCGCGTCGTTATTAAGAATTTTGTTCGTCCCGTGTTTCTATTTCACCGCAAAATATGGAGACCAAGGCTGGATGATAACATTGGTTTCCCTTTTAGGACTAACTAATGGCTATCTCACAGAGTTTGTGTTCTTACAGTGGCTCCCAAAGGATACAAAGTGAGTTCGAAAAAAGTTGATTTACATACAAAATCAAGATAGTTTACCTTAAATTTGTCTATCTTAAAGTCAACAAATTGTAAATATTCGACACTTGCAGGCACCGGAGCAGAATGCATTGGGAAATTTGCTAGTCGCGTTTCTTGTTGGAGGTGTGTTTACGGGCGTTTGTCTAAGCTGGCTGTGGATTAATGGCCATGGAAAATTCTAACGAGAATATGAATTGGTTCGAAACAAGACCGGATGTTTTTTGTAATAATGCTGGATTATGTAATAGTCGCTCAATAAACTTGGATCGAAATTCACACTATGTGCAATGACACATTTACCCTTATGTGTTAATTGATACATTTACCCTTGTGTGTTTTTTCCACGTAAGAGCCACATAGGCGGATGGCTCCGTAAGAAAAACAATTTTCATATGACTCAAATCATCATACAAGCATAATTTCTTCAACGGTAGCTTCAAAGAGTTAAAAAGACACACAGCTCATCAATCACTTCCTTTTGACACTTGAAGCTTGATATTAACATGATGAGAGTAAAATTAAATGGGTGAATGTATATAGTGAAAGAAAGGCCAAATATAATAATTCGTACTGCTATACAAAAATCAAGATCTAATTCAAGATATTAACTACAAAAACAGAACACAATAGCTTCACATACAGAGTTCTTTAACCTTCTCCTATTTTTTTCGCAGCATGTCCACATCCACATTTTGTACTCTCCAAGAAACAAATATACTAAGTGCTCACCTAGGCATCATCTAGCACGTATCTCTAAAATAAAAACCTCCGAGAGTTGAAATCATCACAATTCCCATCCCTATAATTTAATTTATTTATTTTTTTCATATCATTTTTTTGATAAATAGTCAATCCCGGAGCATATCCACAATTGCACAGAACAAACACAACCGACCATCGAAGTATAACTAATTAACTATCAATTAGAATGATTAGATTACTAACTTAAAACATACATCAACTTGAAGCCAATGTAAGACGACATACTCAAACCACTTAATTTCAGTCTACACAAAAGAACGCAGCAATGGAAAGAAAATTCTTTTCAGTTTTATGTTTTCACCACATAACATAAGTCGGCTGAATTAATCCACAAAGCTTAAAAAAACAAAAAACATGGCTGACCAGTCGAGAAAATTGGAGCAATCAAGGATGACGGTGATTGACAACCAAGGGCGGGCGAAGGGCCCGGTGGTTAGCTTCTTTCTCCTTCCGAGCATTGTACATTTCCTCCGTCTCAACCACCACCAATCTCTTCACCTGAAATCAAATATAAAAAACCAGTCAATATTGAAAAAAGAACCATTTTTTTTTTTCTGAGAAAACGAAGGAAAATAAGAAGTTGGAGGAGGAGATAACCTGCTGAAGCATTCCCCGGAGGGAAGGCGTATTGGAGTGGGTGACAATACGGTTGCACTTGGTGAGGCGCAAGGCCTCTAACGTGCGCCGGTGGAGCCTTCTTGTACCCGGGATTCCCCTCACCAGCGTTATGTACAGATTAGGGCTCCACTTAACAGGAACATTCGCTTTAAATGCTCTGAAAGCACTCATTTATCGGCGGATTAGCTTTTGATGTGTTGCGATTTATGATCGTCCCAATTGGAGAACAAAGAAGAAAACAGATGAAGAGAGGGGTAACGAGAATCGCTGCAGAGACGGAAGGAATCAAGGGTTTGGAAATGGTTATACAATAATCAAAACGACGTCGCGTTCATCAGTTATAACTTACAAGTAAGGTTATGGGCTGGAGCTGGACATATAAGTACAAGGTAAAAAGGTAATTAAAAAAAAAACTAAATAACATTTTTAGTTCAAATATTCTAATATTTTGCTTCTTAGTCCTGTGATTTAATGTTTTGCTGCAATTTCAATCTTTTTTATTGAAATAACAATTTTTTAAATGTATAGATTTTTAATTAGCAATTTAAGTCATATAATTGAGAATTTTTGTTGCAATTTCAGTCTTTAAACATCGTTGTAATTTCAATTCTCAAATGACAGAAATTGCAACAAAATATTAAGTCATATAACCAAACGGCAAAAAGTTGGAATATTGGGACCAAAACTGCTATGGTGTGAAACCAAAAAGATCAAAAATGCATTTTTGCCAAAAAAAAAAAAAAAATCACCATTATGGGCCGGGTCGTTATAAACAGAGCAAGATCCAGCGTATAGGCCCAATGGACTAGTTCGAATGGTTTTTTTTACGCATACTTTCTCACAGAACTTTATATATAAGTGAGGGAATGTTGATGCTTACCTTGTAACAGCATGTCAGAATCATCTGGGCCGGCTGAATAAAAAAACTTTTGGGCCTGTGCTTCATGACACGATCCGGCCCAGCCCATTTAAAAAGGTTGAGTTGAATCATTGACACATCCTAAATGTATTTATTTTAAGACACATGTTAATAAATAATTTGAGAATAATTATTTATGGTTTCTCAGAGGTATGGATAGTAGAGGTAATAAAATTACAGCCTAAATTAGTCAAACTCACTCCCCTTTTGCTTAGGAGACAAAAAACAAACAAAAAAAATAAATAAATAAAAACAACACTAAATAATAGGACAAAGAAGATGAAAATGCAGCAATTTGCATGCACCATGCTGAGTGAAGTACTAAGCATACATTAAAAAAAATAAAACGATTACAACTGTTAGGCTTACAAATAGAAATACTGAGCATCTCATCACAATACAGAAATTGCTGATTTAATTTGATTTTTTATTAGCTATGCAATTGATCATATGATCACCTCTGGCCTCTGCATATCTCATAAATCTCCTCTCATGCCCAATATGTTTCATATTTCAAGAAACAATATTTAAAGCAAAAACTCATAATTGGTAAGAAAGACCCATTGGAGCAGAAATCTCATTGGCCATGAAGATCACAAAATCTTCATGATTTGTTACATTTCCCCATTCACTCATAAAGAACAGAACCAAAATTATCATTGTTCTTATTTGCTAAGACTCACTATAATCTATACACATTATTCCATTGCAATTTAACAA